TGAATTTGTTTCTCTAGTCTACCCGGACTGACAGACACCCTTCTTTCTATGTCAGTACAGAACAACTTAACCCTCTGAGCAGGACAATCCCGCCTGCCCCCAGGATGGATCGGCATTGGGATTGTTAGCCCTGTCATGCAAACTTCCCTCCCGTGCCCTCTCTCCCCCTGCAGGGCCCCGTTTAAAAAAAAAGTAAACCTTGTGCTCTCCTTCCACTGTCTCTTTTTGGAAATGGAGTAAGATATGCATAATACTTTCTTCCCCGATCTCTAGCAAAACATAGCATACCAGCCCTCCTCTGTGCCTACAGTTTCCCCCTCCCCCCATCTGATGTCCCACCCCGGGGATTCCCTTCGTGGCGGGGTACAGAAATCTTCGGTCACGTAGCCTTTCACAGCTACATGGTCCTCCGCGACTTGTCTGTCCCCTGGCTTCTGCACCCAGAGGCTGACAGATGAGCAACCAGCAGACATGACTTTCTGATTTTGCCACAGCACCTTCCGGACGGGCTCCTAGATGCGACGGGCCAGATTCTGCCAGGGGCCTGGCCCACATTGCATCCCCCACCCACAGGGGGTCTGAGGGCCTGTTGGTCCACGGTTCAGTCAAAGGGCCCATGGCGCACACTGATAAGTGTTTCCCCGTGCTGCGGATTTTCATTTCCCCATATGCACGTGCCCTGTGTACACCCTGCATCCCTCCCACAGCGCCGGCCGTTTGTTCAGCCATCACTGAGCCTCCAGAACCTTCCAGGCCCTGCAATGGGGAGCATTCATTCAATCCGTGCTTTGAAGCAGCTCCCGGGGGAGTTGGGCTTACTGATTCTTGAGACTCCAAGAGACTTGCTGGAAAAGTGTGTGTGTGTGTGTGTGTGTGTGTGTGTGTGTGTGTGTGTGTTGAAGGGGAAGGAATCAGGGAGGGTGCCCAGGAAAAGATGACCTTGAAGCTTGGCTTAACCAGTATTTCTCAGTGGAGGGCCATTTCGTCCCTCAGGAACATGAGGCCGTGTCTGAGAACATTTTTATTGTTGTTAGCTGGTGCGGCCAACAGGACACAGGATGGGGGGGGCTATCTGATAACTATCCAATGCACGGTGCTAACAGCGCTGGGTGGGGAAACCCTGGTCTGCAGGGCATGTCTAGTATTTTTCCTTTTGAGGAATCCTTGCAGCCCCCTGCTCACCCCCCCTACACACCCCGAGACACACGGGCGGTGCGGAGGGATCATAGTGGCCCCGGGAGAGTTGGTCTTGTAGCTGGACCAGGCTCGCTCTTCACTCCTCACCCCTTCACTCCAAGAAAAGGCGAAGATGGATGAGAACGTTGGATGGATGCCGGGGAATGCCTCCCCACCGAGCCCCAGTGCCCTCGGAGCTGTGCGGAAACCTGACACCGAAAACCGCAGGGGGGCTGCTGACAGCGGGGTGTGATCAATACCCCGGAAGGGGGC